GAACCTGCAACCTGTCGGTCTTCAGTCCTGCAGGCACAAGGGTTTAACCCACTGCGCCACCGGGGGCTCCTAATAATATATTAAAACCAGTAAACTAAAAAACATCAAACATAACATAAAACATTAACATGGAGTTAATAGTTCTAGGTAGGATTCTATTCTACCCCAGCAAAAAGCCCCTAAATGTTTTTTCAGAGGTCTTCCAGCCAAACATCAGCGAGGCCCAGCTCTTTCAAAGAAATGGGATTAGTTATGTTCAGGGAAAAATCATGTTGTCTAAAAAATATAATGTGTTATGCTGCCTACGAATGCCAAGGCAAAACTGGCAGGTAATATAAATGCATGAGAAATCACAGACCAGATACTGAGAGTCCATATGTTAAAATCACATAATATTGTAAATGTTGGAATGACTTACTTTACTGACTTACTTAGGCGATCCCTCATTGTCTGAGTAAGATTGTCTCCAAGTTTGGTGTCTTGGCGATGGGTACATAGATGACTGTGGAACCCTATTCTTGACCTGCATGTTCTCCCGCAATGAGGGCATTGGTTTCCAAGTGGAAGGCAGTCCCGGTCAGAGTTGGCTTGACAGGTCTTCCTCTTGGCATGTTTTTCTCTTTTGCCCTCTATTCATTTCTCTTCAAATTCTACAGCACTGGTGGTCACAACTGACCTCCAGCTAGAGTGCTCAAGGGCCAGGGCTTCCCAGTGTCTATGCTACAGTTTTTAAGGTTGGCTTTGAGCCCATCTTTAAATCTCTTTTCCTGTCCTCCAACATTCTGTTTTCCATTTTTGAGTTTGGATTAGAGTAACTGCTTTGGGAGACGGTGATCGGGCATTTGTACAACATGGCCAGTCCAGCGGAGTTGATGGCGGATGACCATCGCTTCAGTGCTGGTGGTCTTCGCTTCTTCCAGCACGCTGACATTTGTCCGCCTGTCTTCCCAAGAGATTTGCAGGATTTTTTGGAGGCAACACTGATAGAATTGTTCCAGGAGTTGAGTGTGATGTCTGTAGACAGTCCACGTTTTGTAGGCATACAGCAGGGTTGGGAGGACAATAGCTTTATAAAAAAGTTGGAATGAACAGGTACACTGGAAAGAGGTTTAAAGAGGGTACCATGTGAGTCAGTCTCTGAGGTCATTCTACAACCAAGGTACCACCATTAAGAAGACAATTTCCTTAGCAGACATTGACTCTGGGAGGGGAACTTGAGGAAGAAGTTAAGGTTCTTATGAACTTAGAACCTCAAGATGCTTGGGGAGAATAACAACACTTGCTTAGCCATTACATTTCAAGTAACCTGGTATCTTGTAATTTGGAGGCTTAAAAGTTAAAGACCATGAGAGATATCTTGCTCTTTCAATTTAAAGATGATAGGGAAAAGGGTTGCTACTTGCCATTCTCTTCCAGCACCATTAAAAATTTAATCAAGTCTATTTTAATACCTTCCACTACTACTTAATGGCCAGTCATTAAATAATGAGTTATAAAATATTAGGCTATTTTTAGTATGATAGGACCAAAAATAGAACAAATTGGTTGCTGGAGGGGAGAAAGCAATCTTATTAAAACAAGTAAGGTTTAATGGCATGAACTTGCTCCATGGCTGCAATAGCTTGAAGACTGTGTTGTCAAAGGCTTTCATGGACGGACTACATAGAGAAGCCATTGAAATACACAAGCATGTGGACAATTTCAACAAAAAGGAGGAAACCATGAAAATGAGCAAAATCTGGCCACCAGTATTTTAAAAAAATCAGGACAGTAAGTAAAGATCAACACTTAAATAACAGTAAAAATCTCATTTACAATACAAATTGGATCACATTCCTTGTATGCCTAAATCCAATTGCTATTTCCAACTAGCGTACACCCACTGAATCAATGGGTAATCCAACACTGATACGAGTTCCATTGAGATATTATATATATGTGTGTGTGTGCATGCTGTGCTCCACCCTGAGTCCCCTTCGGGGTGAGAAGGGAGGAATATAAATGTTTTAAATGTAAATAAATGTAAAATATAAATGTTTTAAATGTAAATGTAATAAATAAATGTAATACCTTTCTTATTGGAAAAGAGGATTAGTTATGAGCAGTTCTATGTAGATTGACAAATTATCTAACCTGGGATGTATGGAACTTTGCTATCTTCATGTAGTCTCTGAATACCTTTATGTAGATTTCTCTTACGTAAAGGGAGGAAGATCCACAGGAGTCTCAAGCCTAAACTTTCCTGACTGAAGGACAAGGAGCTTGTGGACCAGGCCTGAACCAACTTGGACCCTCCAGGTGTTTTTGGACTTCAACTCCCACCATTCCTAACAACCTCAGGCCCTTTCCTTTTCCCCCTCAGCCAATTAAGTCCAATTTTTAAAGTAGCTCTCCAGTGTGCTGAATCCAATCTTCAAACCAGCTTGGATAGCATAGGGAAAAGGTAACACCCCTGTGGTGTTTGTTTTTTCTGTCTGTGCCCCTGTTCAGAATATTTCTTCTTACTTCCTATCCCTGTGCGAATTTGATTTTGGGGAATTTCACATGTGGAAACAAGGATTGGTGATAAAGCTTCAGTGGAGACACCTTTTCCCCATGATAATAACTCTTCCAGGAGTGAATTTCCCTTCCAAAGGATAGATTCCTCTCACTTCCTGTTGTCTCGCCCCAGTTCTTAATTAGGAGTTGTCTGATGATTAAGTTGGATGATTGTAACTCAGGGACTATAAGCCTAAAGCAGGCATGGGCAAACTTTGGCCCTCCGGGTATTTTGGACTTCAACTCCCACAATTCCTAACAGCTGTAGGTGGCTGTGGAGCCCTATTCTTCCGCAGTGAGGACATCAGTTTCCAGTTGGAAGGCGGTCCTGGTCAGGGTTGCCTTGACATGCCTTCCTCTTGTCATGTTTCTCTCTTTTGCCCTCCATTTCTGCCTCTTCAAATTCTACAGCACTGCTGGTCACAGCTGACCTCCAGCTAGAGCACTCAAGGGCCAGGGCTTCCCGGTTCTCAGTGTCTACACCAATCAGGCCAACGAGTGACCATCACTCATAAAAACAAAGCTGAAGAGTCTTAAAATGCCAAAAAAAAAAACACCCCAAGAAGATACTACAGCACGTGCACAAAACCACACACACACACATATGCAAACAGACATATATACACATATACACAAATGTATACACACACAAAGCACATATACACAGACCGGGTCCCAACAACGCATGGCACAGGACAGCTAGTAGCTTTATAAACAAGCACCTTGGTCTCCCTACGGACAGGGCCGTAGCCAGAAAAAAATTTCGGGGAGGGTTGACAATTTCGGCGGGGGGAGGGGGGTTGAAAATTTGGGGGGGGGGTTGAAAATTTCTGGGGGGGGGGGTGAAACCGGCCTCCTAGCTCACGCTGAAGCAAAGAGCACAGCAGGGGGCAGAGCAACCTTCAATAGCCTGCAGCTCCACCCCTGTCAACCACCTCCACCAAGTCTGGCCTCCTTAATGAGAGCATTCAACACCCCCCCCCAACTTGGTTGCTTCGCTACATCGGCTATTGCTGCAAGTAATGACAGTGTGAATAAATTGTCAATATTTGCTTGAGATAGTGCTTGCAGTTCTGGAGGGGGTTTCCTGTTATAATTTGCATTTATAGGGTAAGCCACCTGCCAGTTATAGTTAGGATCCCTGGTCCCGCCCCCTTTTTGCCTTTTGGAGGGAAGGGGCCTATTTTCAGTCACACAAGGAAGCCAGTCTATAGGACGCAGATCAGCTAGTCCCGTAGGAAAGGCTTCATTCCTCAAAACCTTCCGGGGAAATAGAAATAGCCATCCGGGGATCATCCAAAGGTGATCCGGGGTCCATCCAGCGACCATCCAGGGGTCATCCAGTGACCATCCAGTTCCAGGGAAACAGAAGGAAAAGGTCCCAAAGGCTCTGGCTGAGAGCTCACAGCCTCTCAGCCTCACAGCACCAGAGGGGAAAACAGCCCTGAAGTTTCCACAGGACATCACTGCAGAACCACAGAATTCCAGCTAAACATCTTCTAGCTTCGTCTGGTAGGTTACTCGGTTTCCAGACGCATTTGGGGATCGGCAGTATTACCCAGACCAGCGAGGCCTAGGTGATGGATGGCCTGGGAGGGATTATAAAGAGTTCTTCCTTATGAGATAGTACAGTCAAACCAAGTTAGTGCCAGTCTCTTAAAGACTTGAATAGTAAAGCCGTAAAGTTTTGTTTGAAGATTTGTTCCTTAATAAAGACTTTGTTGTACTTTTAAAGACTCTCAAGCCCATTACTTCTGGAAGTCTCTAACAATCTCTCTTCGGGCACCCCGGCTTCCCACTGGGTTTAAAGTGTGCGTTCTATAGAATAAAGACATTTTGTTCAGACCCAGTGGCGACAGAACATCAGCTATTGCTGCAAGTAATGACAGTGTGAATAAATTGTCAATATTTGCTTGAGATAGTGCTTACAGTTCTGGAGGGACTCTTAGTTTTTTGCATCTCATGGACTTAGCATAGGGATTAGGTTAACCAGTTAAAATTCATGAGTAAACCAGGTTTTTTTAAAAAAATCTGAAACATTTCGGGGGGGGGGGTTGAACCCCTAAAACCACCCCCTCGCTACAGGCCTGCCTACGGATGTCCCTGTACTCAAACACTCTTTGCTTCATTCAGAAAAATGCTGCACTCGCAGAGTTCAGGTGGTGTATTTCAGTGTCAATGTTGACTTTTGTGAAGAGCTGGCTGCCAAGGTAGCGGAAATGATCAACATTTTCCAATACTGGCTGTTAGGAATTGTCCAAAATACCTGGGAGGGAGGCCAAAGTTGGGCCATGCCTGCCACAGCAGTTCATGAACCCTGCATACAGCGCAGCATCCTGCAGGGGGCGCGCTTCCGTCGGCGGCGGGCCTGTTTGCCTGCGCTCCCGCTGCCTCTCGCCCGCCCGCCTGCCTGCCTCCCATAGGCTGGTGCTGGGCTCCTCCTCCTCCCGGCGCCCGCCCGCCCGCCCGCCCGCCTGGCTCCCCTCCTTCCCCGTGATGGCGGAGGACAGCGAGTCTGCCGCCAGCCAGCAGAGCCTCGAGCTGGACGACCAGGACACCTGCGGCATCGACGGCGACAATGAGGAGGAGACGGAGCACTCCAAGGGGTAGGCCAAGCCGGGCATGGGAGGAGGAGGAAGAGCAGCAGCAGCAGCAGCAGGCAGCACCCACCCAAGCCCCTGCGGCAGCCCTGGTCGAGGAGGAGGAGGAGGAGGAGGAGGAGGTCCCTCGGCCCCCGTCCTCCTTCCCAGGCCACGCTTTTGTGCAGCCTCTTGCAAGACGCCTCCCCTCTTCTCTCTTGCAGGAGGGATGGCCAGCCAAGAGGGAACCCACCCAGGAAGAAAGGCCTCGCTCTCTCTTTTTAACCCCCCCCCCCAATCCTGCCTCTTGCTTCTCCCTTCTTAGCTTCCCAATCTGGGGTTTGCCCTTCTTGGACCCATCCTGGGGAGTGGCTTTGCCCCCTTCCCCCTCCCATTCATTAGGCTCCCTTACCAAATTCCCATTAGACTCCCTTGCCCCCCTCCAATTAAGATTATTTACCTCCCCCTCCCATGTGGCTTCCCCCCCCCTACAAATAATATTATTTATCCCCTTCCCATTAGGCTCCCTCCCCCCCCCAATTAATTCGGTTCCTTTACCCTCCTTCTATTTATTAACCTGCCTATCCCTCTTCCCATTAGGTTTCTTTGCCCCCCTCCCATTAATTAGGATCCCTTGCCCCCATCCATTCAGATTATTTCCCCCCCCCCCCAAATTAGGTTCCCTTACCACCTTCCCATTAGGCTCCCTTGCCCCTCCCATTAAGTAGGATCCCTGGCCCCTCTCATTCAGATTATTTACTACCTTCCCATTAGGCTCCCTTGCCCCACTGCCAGCCCCCTCCCATTCAGATTATTTACCCCCACCCCAGTTAGGTTCCCTTCCACCTCAATTAATTAGGTTCTCTTACCCTTCCAGTTAGATTTCCTTACCACCTTCCCAGTAGGCTCCCTTGTCCCCCTCCCATTAAATAGTTTCCAGCCCCCTCCCAATCAGATTACCCCCCCCCCCAATTAGGTTCCCTCCCACCTCCATTAATTAGTTTCCCTTACCCCCTCCCATTAGGCTTCCTTACCACCTTCCCATTAGGCTCCCTTGTCCCCCTCCCATTAATTAGGTTTCCCAGCCTCTTCCCATTCAGATTATTTACCCCCTCCCATTGGGCTTCCTTACCACCTTCCCATTAGGTTCCCTTGCCCCACTACCATTAATTAGGTTCCCTTATCTCCTCCCATTCAAATTATTTACCCCACTCCCATTGGGCTCCCTTGCCTCACTCCCATTAACTAGCCTCCTTGCCACCTCCCATTAAGATTTATTTATCCCAAGCCCATTAGGCTCCATTGTCTCCTCCTGTTAATTAGCCTCACTTACCCCTTTCCCATTGAAATTATTTACCCCCATTAAACTCCCTTAACCCCCTCCCATTAAGGTGATTTACCCCACATCCATTAGGCTCCCTTGCCTCCCATTAGGCTCCCTTGCCCCTTTCCCATTAATTAGCCTCCCATTCAGATTATTTACCCCCTTCCCATTAGGCTTACCAAACCCCCCCCCCTCCCTTACCCCCTCCCATTAAGATTATTTTCCCCCCCCCCCCACCTTAGACTCCCTTACCTCCTCCCCCATTAGGCTCCCTTGCCCCCCCCCCCATTAATTAGGTTCCTCCTTAGGTTCCTGCTAAGCTGTTAGGAATTGTGGGAATTGAAGTCCAAAACACCTGGAGGGTCGAAGTTTGCCCGTTCCTGGGCTATATGTGTAAGGCGTTTTTGCATCATCAATGAATTTCATGTTTAGACTTGGCTCTGTCTCCAAGATAGCTCTTTATGTTTGTATCTATATACAAATACAGATACTCTGATATCCAAAATACTTTATTTTGAATAAGATATACACAACCTACACATTTTTAACCAGAGTCATGGGACACAAGTTTTGAATTTTGAGTCTCCTTGTGGAGAGAAAAACCAGGGTGTAAATAAACATAAGCATAAGAATACATGTTTATGGGTTTACAATTTCCTGCCCTCTCTCCTGTACATACATCCATTAGGAATTCCAATCCATGGTCATGGGAGAATTTGGAGCTAGAGCGTGGGAATTAATACAAATTTAATAATGCAGGATGTAATCTTTTGAGGCAGCGTCTAAGGTAGTGGTTCTCAACCTGTGGGTCCCCCTATGTTTTGGCCTTCAACTCCCAGAAATCCTAACCGCTGGTAAATTGGCTGGGATTTCCGGGAGTTGTAGGCCAAAACACCTGGGGACCCACAGGTTGAGAACCATTGCTCTGAGGACCTCATCACAATAGAGCATGGATCCACCATATCCAGTTTCTGCCTCATGCAGAATTCTGGGTCTTGTAGTTTATGGAGAGGCCTTTAAACTGCTCAGCAAGGCAGAACCTAGGCCTCAATAAACTACAAACCCCAGAATTCTGCATGAGGCAGAAACTGGATTTAAAGTGGATCCATGCTCCAGTGCAGTGGTTCCCAACCTTTTTTTGACCAGGGACCACTTTGACCATGGACCACTTGGCCAGGGACCACTCTCCAACAGTAGTATTTAAAAGGTTACAAATCGGTTTTCTATCAACTCTAGATTTGGTTTGATTGTTTGGGGTGCTGATTCAGAAAATTTTATTGGATAGACCACATCAGCTCTAGTTTCTGATAGAACATGTGCCATCCAGTAGTTGCCATCTGCTCACCCACAGAGAACCATATTTAATGATCTAGAGCTCATGTGGTAGTAGTAATCTTTCGTGGAAAATCAGCACCATAAGAGGGTTTCGTGAGACCAGTTGCTCTTGTTGCCACGTGGTTTTAAGGCAATGATGTAACGGTGAGGCCGCGAACCATATTTTCATTCTTGCAGACCACTTGTGATCCATGGATTCAGGTTGGGAACCACTGCTCTAGTGTGATGAGGCTGTAAACATTCCTTGCTGGATAAAAAATGTGGGCTTCAGTCAGCTAGCTGTAATTTTGCTCCCACCTCAGTCCCATCCTGTTGTTGTTGTCTTCTTGCATTGTGTAGGAGGATAGGAATATAATTAGTTAATAGACTGGAATATGGGGTAGAGAGGCTGTTTTAAAGGTATTAAAATTGTTTGAAAGGTATTATTTGTAACAGGACCCAGAATCCTGAATTGGTTTTCGCAATAACATTCAGCTCTGGTACAGGAGAGACTTTGAAAACAAGCGCCATCAGTGTATTGCAAAGTTGATTTTCCTCGTATTGCTTAATCGCATTTGACCTTCCTACAAAGAGAGGGTATTAGGCTTAGTTTCACAGTAAGGAATTGGCAAAGCCACCTCTGTATATTGCTTGCCCTGGAAAACGATACGAAATTCATGAGGTCACCAAAGTCAAAAGGCGACTTGGGTCCCATCTACATTGCCATATAATGCAGTTTGAAACTGCATTATATGGTCAGTGTAGTCTCATATACACTACACTGCATAGCAGGTTAAACCGCTGAGCTGCTGAACTTGCTAACCAAAAGATTGGCGGTTCAGATCTGGGGAGTGGAGTGTGCTCCCACTGTTAGGCCCAGCTTCTGCCAACCTAGCAGTTTGACAACATGCATATGTGAGTAGATCAATGAGTACCGCTTTGACGGGAAGGTAACGGCGCTCCATGCAGTCATGCTGGCCACATAACTTAGGAGGTGTCTATGGACAATGCCGGCTCTTCAGTTTAGAAATGGAGATGAGCACCACCCCCCAGAGTCTGGCACGACTAGAGTTAATGTCAGAGGAAATCTTCACCTTTACTAGTCCCATATAACATAGTTTAACCACATTGAACTGCAATATATGGGTCTGCACAGACCATGTAATGTAGTTCCAAACTTCATAATATGGCACTGTAGATGTGGTTAGGGCTTCAGCATGTCTTAATTTTGCCTTGGTCTGCTGTGTATATGAGTAAGTCTGCATCCAACACACTTAAGGGAAAGTGCTTCTCTCCCCAGGTTAGCAAATGTTGTACACAGTGCTGCTAACAGGGACTGAGTAATCTGTATTACTCAAGACTGAGTAGGCTGTATTGAATCTGATAAAGGCTGAGCCAGGAAAGTATTCTGGGGTTTCAACCAGGGCCGCATTGACAAGAACGAGGACGAGGACTCCAGATGCAGTAGTACTATTTTTTTTTTTAGAAAACTAATAGATATCACTATCTAAAACAGGAGCCCTGTGAAGCCATGAAGTCCAAAGTCTAAAGTTGCCTAATTTCAAATATCTAATTTTAGATAGAAGATAGAAAAGTAGCTGCCATTGTTGACATAGGTATTTAACATTTGCTTCAACCTTGGAAGCTTTGACCAATGTTTTCCTAATCCTAGGGTGCACTTCTAGGAGTTGAAGAGCAAAACACTGGTGGTTCAAATGGGAAATACCACTGTTTGAGTTCCTGTCCAGATGTGTGATCGATGTCACTTGCCATTGTCAAAACTGATGTCCTTTTCACACTACACAAATATAGCACTATTATTCCACTTTAAATATCATGGCCGTGTCCTTTGGAATCCCGTGGGCTTGTCTTCACTGCTTTCAAATTGGCAGTAGTGGATTTCTGCACTCCTTGAAGGCTGACCTAGATGGTTTTTGAGGTGTCTTATAAGTATTCCATTCTATATAATAATAATACTTTATTTATACCCCGCTACCATCTCCCCAAAGGACTCGGTGCGGCTTACATGAGGCCGAGCCCACAATACATCAAAAAAGCAATAACAACAACAATACAAAACAGTTAAAATAAATATCATAAACAAAATAAACAAAAAACATTGACAATAGCACATTTAAAGACCTATGGCTGGACCAAATGTAATTTAAAATGTAAAAAATAATGCTGGGCATGAACAAGGTAGGAGAGCAAGCAATCCTAAGTCAATATATCTCACTTTAATCCCAGAAACAAGTTAAAAACATACAGGCCTAAAACACAGAAAAAGTTATGATTAATATAGTATTGTTCTATATACTTGAGTATAAGCCAAGTTTTCTAGCTCTTTTTTAGGCTGAAAAAGCCCTCTTTGGCTTATACTCGAGTCAAA